ACACACACACACACACACACACACACACTCCCCTCCCGCATTTGATGCGGCCACACACACATGCTCTCCGAAAGGTCACTGCTCTGCCTCCCTCACAACAGTTGTTCCTCCAGTCGGGAGTGCACACCTGTTAATCGCTTCCTAATGGGCCATCCATCACCCTTGTGAGCGTGTTCTGGGAGAGAGACAGGGAGGGGAGAGACAGCTAGCAGAGAGAGAGAGACAAACAGACAAATATAGACAGAGTGCGAGACCGTGGGGAGGTGGGTGTGTGGAGAAAGATGGAGAGGTGGACAGACTGGAAAGACAGAGCCATGGGCACAGAAAAAAAAGTAGAGTACAGAGAGACGGAGGCCTAGAGGCGGACAGAGACACAAGGCCACAGAGACCCCGTGAGAACCAGAGACACAGGACCCAGAGAAAGACACTGTGGGAGTCAGAACAACAGCCAGTGAGAAACAGACAGAGATCCACCAGCAAAGAAGGGACCTGAGGGCTGGTTAATGTAGCCAGAGGCAGGAGGGCAGAAGGAGAGGAGTTGAGGTTATGCAGAGAGGCGCTGGGCTGGGCAGAGCCACCACAGCCTTGCCTGGTAGCAGGCTAGAGTGGCCGTGGCACATGGCCTTGACCCTTCCAGCAGAGGCAGACAGGTCTGCCAAGCAGGGGTCTCTAACCTGGTCCCTCTTCCTAGATAGCGAGGCAGGAGCGGCTGAGGCCCAGTGTCCACTGGGTGTGACCATCCTCACGGAAGCAGAGTCTGTGGGGAGGCCCCTGCGCTTGCAGGACTTGGGGACAGAACAGAACTCAGGGTACTGTAGCAGTCATGCTGCTTACTGTACCCTCCTGAGCACGCAGCCTCTCACCTAACCCCATGTTATAGAGGGAGAGGATCCCCAATAAGTTAAAGCATCAGCTGCTAAAACAAATGCAAATGTGATTTAGACAGCTGTTGCTATTGTTATGAACAAGAGACAGGAACCCTGTCCTACCCTGTGCCATCCTCACAATCTCTGACACACTCAAGCCCATTGCTGCAGTCACTGTGTCAAGCCTTCTGGTCAAGGGTCTCCCTCTTTTTCCATCACTCTATCCAAGAATGATGTCCCTCTCCAAGGAATAGACTCTCCTAGCAACATGCCCAACGTCAGTGAGATGAAGCTTCCTCCTCTTTGCCTCCCAAGGGCACTCTGGCTGCACCCTCTCCATGATTTATCTGTTTGTTCTTTTGAATGTCCATGGGATGCTCAGTGCTCTTCTCCAACACCACAGCTCAAAGGCATCAGCTCTTCTTCTGTCATCATTATTCAGTGTCCAGCTGTCCGCTGCATAGCAAGCAATTGAAGACTATGTCCCGAACCAGGCGCACCTTAGACCTTAATCTGACAGACATCCTTGCTCCTCAGTAATTTGGAGAGGTCCCTGGCTGCAAACGTTCCCAAGGTATTAAGTCTCCTGATTTCTGACTGCTGGTACCAAGTATGTTGATTGCAGATCCAAGTAAGATATAGCAGACAGTTGTTGTTGTTGTTATGTGCCATCAAGTTGCCTGCGACTCAGAGCGACCCTATGTAGAATAGCTCTGAGTCCTGCCCTATCCTGAGCCAGTCTCACTCACTCCGAACCAAGTTTCTCCTCTGAGGCAAGGATTTTGGAGCTCACATACTTTGGGTATGTGGCCAGTAGGAACCAGTCCTTGGAGAAGGAGATCATGCTCGAAAGGGTGGAGGAAGGAGACAGTATCCAGACACCTGCAACCTCACCCCTATGCTCACCTGATTGCCCCATGACTAGGCAGGGCTCACCAGCCCACTTTACAGATGAACAAGTGGAGGCTGTGTAGGAATGTGACGCCCAGCCTTCCCTCTCGCCCTGCACACACACAGCCTCAGCAGCAAGCACGGCTCCCTGCCGCCAGGGTGGGAAGCAGGGCCAGGTGGGCCCCAAGACACCTCCCCCCCCATCACTGCCCCTGCTGGAGGGGGGCTGCCTGTCTCTCCACTTCTCCTGCTGTGCCCTCCTCTTCCCACGCTCCTCTCAGCGGCCCTGGGTCACCTCTCCCTGCAGGCGTCACCTCAGACGGGGCTGCTCAAAATAAACAAGGGGGCGGATGGCTTGTCACCAGTGGTGTCTGGGAGCGGAGGGAGCCGAGTAAAAATACCAGCAGGCCTTGCAGAGTCGCCGCCGAACAATGGCTGCGCTTTAAAAAGAACGTGCTGCGAACCCTCCATCCCCCGCACTGCTTCTTTAATTAATTAATATTTGGAGGCTCTAGACAGTGGTGAGCAACGTGCCCCGGGCTGGTGGCGGCAGGACAGAGGCAAGGACTCATCAGTGCGCTTGGGGTGTTCCTGGCACAGA